CATTTATTTCCATATATTGCTGGATCTCCATTTTAATTTGGTCATTGATCCATTGATTTTTTAGGAGTGTGTTGTTAAGCCTCCATGTGTTTGTGAGCCTTTTTGCTTTCGTTGTACAATTTATTTCTAGTTTTATACCTCTGTGGTCTGAAAAGTTGGTTGGTAGGATTTCAATCTTTTTGAATTTACTGAGGCTCTTTTTGTGGCCTAGTATGTGGTCTATTCTGGAGAATGTTCCATGGGCACTTGAGGAGAATGTGTATCCTGTTGCTTTTGGGTGTAGAGCTCTATAAATGTCTATTAAGTCCATCTGTTCTAGTGTGCTGTTCAGTGCCTCTGTGCCCTTAGTTATTTTTTGTCTGGTGCATCTGTCCTTCAGAGTGAATGGTGTGTTGAAGTCTCCTAAAATGAATGTATTGCATTCTATTTCCTCCTTTAGTTCTGTTAGTATGTGTTTCACTTACACAGGTGCTCCTGTGTTGGGTGCATATATATTTATAGTGGTTATATCCTCTTGTTGGACTGAGCCCTTTATCATTACGTAATGTTCTTCTTTATCTCTTGTTACTTTCTTTGTTTCAGAGTCTATTTTGTCTGACACAAGTACTGCAACTCCTGCTTTTCTCTCCCTATTATTTGCATGAAATATATTTTTCTATCTCTTCACATTTAGTCTGTGTATGCCTTTGGGTTTAAAGTGAGTCTCTTGCACGCAGCATATAGATGGGTCTTGTTTTTTTATACATTCAGTGACTCTATGTCTTGTGATTGGTGCATTCAGTCCACTTACATTTAGGGTGATTATCGATAGGTATGTACTTATTGCCATTGCAGTGTTTAGATTCGTGGTTACCAAAGGTTCAAGGCTAATATCCTATCTAAGAGTCTACCTTAACTCACTTAAGATGCTGTTACAAACACAATCTAAAGTTTCTTTTATTTTTCTCCTCCTTTTACTTCCTCCTCCATTCTTTGTATATTAGGTATTGTATTCTGTATTCTTTGTCTATCCCTTGATTGACTTTGGGGATAGTTAATTTAATTTTGCATTTGTTTAGTAATTAGCTGTTCTTCTTTCTTTACTGTAGTTTTATTTCCTCTGGTCACAGCTATCAAACCTTAGGAACATTTCCATCTATAGCAGTCCCTCCAAAATAGACTGTAGAGATGGTTTGTGGGAGGTAAATTCTCTCAGCTTTTGCTTATCTGGAAATTGTTTAATCCCTCCTTCAAATTTAAATGATAATCTTGCCAAATGAAGTAATCTTGGTTCCAGGCCCTTCTGCTTCTTTGCATTAAATACATCATGCCACTCCCTTCTGGCCTGTAAGGTTTCTGCTGAGAAGTCTGTTGTTAGTCTGATGGGTTTTCCTTTGTATGTGATGTTATTTCTGCCTTTGGCTGCTTTTAACAGTCTGTCCTTATCTTTGATCTTTCCCATTTTAATTACTATGTGTCTTGGTGTTGTCTTCCTTGGATCCCTTGTGTAGGGGGATCTGTGGATCTCCATGGCCTCATGGCCTCAGAGACTATCTCCTTTCCCAGACTGGGGAAGTTTTCTGCAACTACCTCCTCAAAGACACTTTCTATCCCTTTCTGTCTCTCTTCTTCTGGTATCCCTATAATGCGAATATTGTTCTGCTTGGATTGGTCACACAGTTCTCTCAATATTCTTTCATTTTTAGAGATCCTTTTTTCTCTCTGTGCCTCAGCTTCTTTGTATTCCTCTTCTCTAGTTTCTATTTCATTTATTGTCTCCTCCACCGTATCCATCCTGCTTTTAATACCCTCCATCGTGCTCTTCAATGATTGGATCTCTGACCTGAATTCATTCCTGAGTTCTTGGATGTCTTTCCGTACCTGCATTAGCATGTTGATAATTTTATTTTGAACTCCCTTTCAGGAAGAGTCACAAGGTCCATATCATTTAAATCTTTCTTGGGAGTTGTATTAATAATTTTACTCTGGACAAGGTTCCTTTTGCATTTTATGTTTGTATATGGCGCCCTCTAGTATCCAAAAGCTCTATTCTGGAGCTGCTGAGTCCCTGAAGCAATGTCGGGGGTTGCAGGGTAGTGGTACTGGTGCCTGGGGGCATGAAAGAGCTGTTCCCCACCTCCCAGCTGCTGTTCCTGTCTCCACTGCCTGAGTCAGTGGGTCAGTCACACAGGTATAAGTTTTTGTCCCAGAGCAGCCAGATATTGATCCCTGCTTTCCACAAGCAGCCGGAATCCCAGTCTCCCCAGGAACTCTGCCTGTATTAACTTTCCAAACCGGTAGTCATGCGAGTCTCATGAAAGCGCCATGAAATGTAGGTTTGTGCTCCCAGAGCAGATCTCCGGAGCTGGGTATACAGTAGTCCCAAGCGTTCCACTCCCTCCCTGCTCCGTTTCTCTTCCTCCTGCCAGTGAGCTGGGTGGGGGAAGTGCTCAGGTCCCACAGAGTCACAGCTCTGGTACGTTACCCTGTTCGGTGAGGTTTGGTCTTTTCTCCAGGTGTATGCAGTCTGAAGCCGTCCTCTTTCCTGTTGCTCTCTCAGGATTAGTTGCGCTAACTATATTTTCTAATTGTATCCAGTTTTAGGAGGAAGCCTCTGTCCCTCCTCTCACACCGCCATCTTTAATCCTTACTCTGTATGGTTATTTTTATCAACTTGGTTATTTTACTTATTTCTGTTTGCATTCAATTTTTGTTTTACCCCATCCTCGTTGATTTAAACATTTTTGATTACATAACAACATTAGCATGATTCAGAAGATGGAATAATACTATAAAGTATAATCAGGGAAGTCTTGTTCCCTCTCCTATCCCTTCTACCCCTTTTCTATCCCCTACCCTGTAGGTAGCCTGTTTCTTCAGTTTCTACTTTATCCTCCCTGAGTTTCTTTTTGGATAAATAAGTAAATATACATATGTTCATTTTTACCCCCTTCCTCCTTGAAAATGGCAGCATACTATAATTCTCTTTTGCATTGTTCTTTCATTTAACAGCATATCCTGGAATTCATACCATGTATCTATTTTTTTCTTATCATTTGTACTTATTTTAGAAATGCTTTCTTTTTCCCTGACATATGAGGATATTAAATTATATTTTTAAGTTTTCTTATGTTCTCTGCATTGTCTGCATTTTCTACTGAGCTCCTTTTTTTTCTGCCTGTTTTGGAGGTCTTCCTTTATTTTCCAGTGACACTTAAAAATGGAGCATTAAAAAGCTGGCTAGGAGCTCCTTGTGCTTGGGAGTGGGCTTCTTACTCAAACTGCTGGGTTTCAATGTGGTATGATCATGTGGGTATCTGTTCATTTTGTTGTGGTCCCTAAGTAAGAATATCATTTTTTTTGTGACTACTTTTTTTCTCCAGAGATGAATCCTTCAATAATTTGCAGATGAAGGGTGAAATAGTGATAGTAGAAATAACTGGTTGGTAAGATTCTTGGAGCCAGTGGCACAAGAGGGTCTGTGGATTTACTCTTCAGTATGTTTTTATTTCCAGTTAATCTTGCCCCTCCTTGCTAATACGGTAGGTAGTTCTCTTGGGTCCAGAGTCTTTCTGACTCAATTTCCTGACAAACAGACCTCAGCCTCTTGTCAAGACTGGGAAGGGATAATCACTAGGCTGTGGGGAGTAAGGAGGGGCCTTGGGAACTCTATTTGTTATGTAGATTTAACATTAATACTACAAGAGAGTGCTGACAAAACAAATGAGGTCACATTAGTTTCACTAGAAAATGAAAATCTCTGATCTTCATAATCAAGTAATTACAAAACCATAAAATTATAAAAATAGAGATTCCAGATACAGGTGATATGATCATTAATACATTAGTTACAATTATAATTCAAACTCCAAGTGGCAATATTGGGGTATAATTGTATTAATACTGTGAACCCTCACGGCATGAGGCAGGGAAGCACATGCCTGCTGAAGTACTTCTACATTTTATAAGAAAAGCCTCTACCTGCATGACTGCATTTAACTGAAAAGTTTAGCAGAAAGTACAAAACAGCAGATTTTATTTCAGATTCTTGAACAGCAATGAATACAGTATATTCACAAAATTTCCTATTTAAGATATTCTAGTCCAACATACTGAAAAAAAAAGTTTATTTTTTTAATGAATAAAAGCATTTATGAACAGATGAACAAAAAGTCCTAGCTTCTTAAAAGTAGAGTTAACTTACATATACTCCAGAGAAGTCAACACCTTGTAAGAAATTTTAGTGACATGGAAAATTCTCAACTCCCACAACTCAGACTTTCAAAATGAGAGAAAAATAGTCATAGTAAAAGCTCAATGGAAGGTGAGAAACTGAACATTAGAAATCATCAAGTACTAGGAAGTGGGGAGAAGATGTCCTTATAGTGGAGAAATTTTACAAATATTTTTTAAATATTTAACAAAACATTACAATATTCAAATCCACCAATCACAATAGTGGTACTCTGATTTGTTCAGAACATACAGATAGTGTACTTAAACTAATTATCTCAGAAGAGATAAAGCAAGCTATACTTTTTCTTACTTTTCCCATGAGGAAAATGATAAAAAAAAATGACCATGTTTAGAAATGACCATTTTATTTTATGATAATTTTATTTTAGACATCAAGGATATGTGCAGATATTAGAAAAATGAAAATATAAAATTAAGACACTGAACAAACTTCATTTGTACAAAGCAAAACTGAATGCAGAAAAATTATTGTATATATACACTCTTTAAAACCTGCTTCTATCATAGGACAATTTAATGCTTTTCTGATCTAAGTTTGCTTTTAATGCTTTAATAAAGAGTGAGTTAACATAGTTTATTCCTTCTTGGAAATGGCACGCATTATTTCCTATCAAAAGGAGGTAAAAATGGAATCCTATCAGGATTCAATCTCATCCGAAGAACACAAATTCTGTGTATTTTTTTAAAACAATATTTAAGTTGCCTGTGTTTGTAACAATTTTCAACATTCTTCAAATACTAGACTTTAAAGTTAAATCTCCCACCTGGTCCAAGACAATGATTTCATCTGCATCAACCACTGTTGACAATCTATGTGCAATGAAAATAGAAGTTCTGTGTTTGACTGCATCCCTCATGGCTGTGAGAATAGTCTGCAAGTTTGACAGGAAGAACAGGAGGGAAAAAAAGAATCTATTAAGTAAATATAAGTTATAATAATCATACATTTCTTAAAGGCATATATAAAATAGCAATTAATTTTGTATTACTTAAACACTATACCACTACCAGGTATTTGACTTAATCTAATAATTACTAAGAAGAGGAGAAAAATCAATCAAAAAGGGAAAGGAAATATGATCACATTATCACGGAAAAAATTATCTTTAATATGTCAACACTTTTTAAAATTACAAAGTCTGGGAGAAGGTGGGCATTTTCTCTACTTAAAAACAATGAATCCAGTGCTAACAGGAGCATAGACAAGTATGTTTATATGGCTAATGAGGGCAAAAATAAAATGAGAAGGGACTCAAGTCATAGGATGCAGAGAATTTCAAAAAAATCAAGAGAAACACAGGAGACTCAAAGGGTACAGGAACATTTGCTTTTCCTTCTTTCAAACTCAAGAAGACAGAAAAGGCAACAAAGATCACTGTGTAGGCTTAACTTGAGGAAACTTGTTTTTCAAAAGCATTCTGACTTCTTAATGCATTCTGGAAAATATATTTCTGCTTACAGTCTTGAAAGTGTAAGAGAGTTGTATATATACTCAGCTATACTTGGAAACCTGGGTCTAAGTACAGGCAGCTAGATGGAAATAGCAGTGGGGGTTTGGGGATATACCCAATGGCTTCCAAAAGATATTTCTTAACATTGTATATATTGAAGTAATGAAATTATCAGTACTAGATGGTTACCTAGGAAAAGAAGACCTTTACTAGGGCAGACTGAAAATGAAGTGCAGGGCCAATTCTAAGAAAAACTGTTGTTTGTGGACTCATCTTCTTTACTCTCAAGAACTTAAACTCTGACATCATACTGAGTGCTTTAGACCTTTTAAAAAGGTTCATTAAAATTTACTAAACCTACTCATTTTAAACCTAATTCATTTCCTTGAGGGGTTCTCTGCCATCTCTTAATGGGTTATATTCTGTGAGATAATAAAGCCATGTGACTCAAATAATGACTGTTAGGACTTTTGTGGTAAATGTAGATGACTTTAGGTGTTAAGTTTTTAAAAGCAGATTTCTATTTTGCCTATAAGTGGGATCTGGTCCTGTTTAAGGTTCCCCGTAAATATAACAAATCCTCATGTTAAACAATTCATTTAGAAATTAAAGTGTTTAAACATATGGTGGACCATATAATGTGCCCTGAAATTCTATATGCAAATATTATGTCATATATGCTATAAAGCCAAAATCAGGCATATCCTTCAACACTAGGTTTTTACCATATACTCAAGTAAAATGCAGGTAAATGGAGGTAACTGACAAATAACATCTACCTATCTTCAATTCTAGATTAAGAGGATTCACTCATGAAATCATCATTGCTGTTAAGATTTTTGTATTTAATGCAAAGATATTGTCTTGAAATCTAACATAGTTGCTGAGCAGTACCATGACATCAGAGTCACAGCATCTTGGTGTTTCATAATACTTGTAAAATGAATAAAAATTTATACCAGCATTGCAGGCTGTGTGTGTCTGACTTGCACCTCAGTGAGCTGCTCCATAAGTGAAAGGCTTTCTGGTGTGCACTGTCATAATCATTTATATGACCTGTTTTAATGAGTGTTAAGTGGCAATAGCAAAAAAAACTGTAACTGTCCTCCTTAATCTGCAAATTAGGCAATTCCTACAGCTTTGCAGGATATAATACAAGAAGAGCTTAGGTGTCACAGAATTCCAAAAGGAGATACGTTTGCAAATGCACTGAGCAATGTGACAGTTGAATGCAACCTGGCATTCTCACTAGCAATACTTGCTATGTGGGGAAAAAGGGCTAGGTATTTTGCTCTATAGTATATCCTACTGAGGTTCATTCAAAATACAAAAGAACGCAGCCATTTTATTGAAACTTCCAAGGAGAAAAGTTAAGTATTGACAATTGAAGAGCTTTATCTTTTCATCATCATTTACCTCTTCAGTAATTGAATCTAATGATGAAGTGGCTTCATCATAGAGAATGACTGGGGGGTCCTTCAAAATGGCTCTTGCAATTGCTACTCTTTGTTTTTCTCCACCTGGTAAAGAAAAATTTGGTTTATGGAAGCACAGCATGAAACATGTTTCTAGTATTTCCACTGATTATAACCACTAAGCAATACCTTCCACATTTACCTCTATTCTGATCACTGTTCATTTTACTCCATTGTAAGAGTATAAGTTCATATATAACTTTTGACAAACTATATTCCCTGGAACATAAATGTAATTCTGGATTCTGACTTCGTGGCAGACAAATAGAATGAGGAAGGGAGTAATACCTTTTATTTCACAATTGTTCCTCTCATCAGAAATATGCTCACTACATATGTAATTTTATATTACTTCTCACTGAACAGCAAACTCAAATAGAAAAATTTCAGTATTAGAGAATCAACAAAGCCAAAAACAAATTCTGCATCTGAAACCTGGAAACTTGAAGACATGAAACTATGAGTATCTAAATTTATCTCTTAACATTAAAAAAAATACCATTCAGCCATTATTCTCAAGAATTTTTTTTGACAGAAAGCTAGTATTTTCACAGCACTCTTCAAAGTAAAGAGTATATGCTAGATACCTCTTATTTCACCTTAGTTATTTGCTATGGGTCTCTAGCATAGCAGAATTTTAAAATAGAAAGGAAAGAGGCCCAGAAAGGTTATGTAATTTACTCAAGGTCACAGAGTAAGTTGCAGCAGAATCTGGACTGGCCCTGACTGATTTCCAGTCCAATGCTCTTCCTGCAACAATGTCAAGCCCACATTTACTCGTAAATATATGCTAGTGAAAATAAAGCAATCTTTCTTTCTTCAGTGAGACTTCTATAGGTCATCAATCTTACTTAGAAGTACAGTTGGAAGTATAGAAATGGTGCCTGAGTGAGGTACGTCCCTTTTTTATTTCTTTTTTGTCTGATATCTATTAATTCATCAGTGTTTGAAAAAACTTGTATTTTTCAGTTTCAGTAACCTTTTCAGGAAACAAGCTCCATAAGAATTATTTCATTTTTATATGTTCTGCAGTTATTATCTTCAACCTGTAAAGGGGGCTTCTTATTATCTAATACTAGTGAATAAGTTTGTATTCATATTATCCACACTCTTCCCCATTTTATAAGATCAAAATTTTCCTATCAAAGCGGTCACCATGACAGAACTGCCTGCTTACCCACCTAGCAACCCAGCAGCAGAAAGCTCTTAAAAGAAACAAATACTCAGAGGAAGGACTAGCACTGACATGCCTTCTAAATTTCAAGTGGAAACCAACCCAGTTTCAATTATATTCAATGGAATTGTGGAACCTGGAAAAGAAACATTTGTTTTTTCTCTACTGTAATTATTAGCACAGATGCTAAGTAATATATTGCTTATTTTGAGAGGTCTGATTGTAAGGTGATGAGTATTAGGTAAGGATAAAATTTCTTCAGCCATTCCTACCTTCAAAGGCATACAAAAAGGAGAGAAATGATTGGAAAATGGAATGAGGCATAGCTATGTAAGGCAAAGTCATGTGTTGAGAGAGCTAATCTATATTATGTGACAAATTGGGGATCTCTAGAATTAGCCAAGTGGGCAAATAATCGGAGGGTGGGCTAGCTAGCTGGAAACTATTCCTATTAAGAGCAGTGGTAAAATATAAAGGTAGACTGGAAGGATGCAGGCATCTTGTACTACCAGGTAATGAATGACCAAGTAACAACTACACACCAACTTAATTTGAAAATAAGCTTTGCTTAACACTTTATAAATATAGATGAAAGCTTTCTAACAGACTGCATATTCCTTGAGAGCAAATCTATTTACATGTTTTTTAATTCTCGAATCATTTAGCATAGTAGCCAGCACACAGTATGTACTTAATCAATGCCATGAATAAATGAAGCCAGTTTGTAATGAAGAGGAATGGGCATTCATTAAAATTCACGAAGAGTATTCTTCATTCTCCTTTTGCCTTATCCCCATCCTTAATCTATACATTTCTTCCCCCAACTAAACTAGAATGAAGAATCAATGTAAAGGATGCAGCATGTTTATATGAGTTACATCAATACTTTCAGTCATTAGATAGTATTTTACTTTAGGAATTCAAATAATTTGAGTCTAAGAAATATCTTTATGGTTTCTCCAAAAAATTCAGTCATTTTAGGATAATTTGTTATTAAACATAGCAATCTCATAATGAAACACTTAAATAGAAATGTATAAGCCCCAAAATTTGCTTGACCACTGAACCAACAAAAACATGAAAATGAAGTTGGCTGTAAGGAAAGTATAGTAGCTAATATCAAGGTCTAAAGTACTGAAAGCATCCCCTAATGATTAGGATGAGATACACTATTTACTACTGAATTACTTCTTCCTATTCTTACTACTCTCCCAGGTGAATAATGATCTTGGCTTTCCTTTAACATTAAGATTATGGATAGGTAACACTGATCTGAGCACAGATTAGTAACTTAGCACTTACAGTATCGGCAGCTGCAAGTGAAAAAAAAAAGAGACTTGCATGGCTTAAGAAGAGTTACTTCTAGTATGCTGAATTATTTACAGTGATGAATAGGAGACTGGGGACCTTGTCTAAAGTGACTAGATGAGCACTAGGTTTGTACTTTGTCATTACATTTTCTAGAAAATTGCTCTGACCAAATAAAGTTTGAAGGGAGTCCAACAAGTGGGGGACAGGTCTAAAAATCTCTGATTACCTGAAAGCTTAAGTCCTCGTTCCCCTACTTGGGTGTCATATCCGTGTGGCATTCGAAGAATTGCGTCATGGAGTCCAGCTAATTTTGCCACTGCAAACACTTCCTCAGGTAAAGCACTGATGTTTCCATATAAGAGGTTGTAGTAAATGGTATTATGGAAGAGGACAGCATCCTGAAGCAGATTTATATATTTGTGTATTCATTATAAAAAATTCAAACAATAGTAAAGATAAAGACATAAAGGCATAAAGAGTAAAACATGATAACATCTTTTTATCACCCCTCTACCCCTGTAATCCTACTCCCTTTCCCAGAGCTAATCACCATGAACAATTCGTTGTGTATCATTATTTTTATACAGTAATATGCCTAAACATACACTTTTTTTCAAATACAAGTGGAGCCATACTATATATATTATTTTGCAAACTGCTTTTTTCACTTAACATATCCTGTAGATTGCTCACATCAGTATCAGAAACCTACTTTATTCTTTTTAACAATTGTGTAATACTCAGGATGTATTGCAATTTATTTATCCATTCCTCAATAGATGGACATTGATGCAGTTTCCAAATTTTTGCTACTACAAACAATGCTGGAATAAAATATCATTGTATATACAACTTTGTGTACCTTTGTATTTCTGTAAGAAGGATTTCTACAAGTAGACTAATAGATTAAAAACTAAACATACATTTATCCTTTGATAGTATTGCCCAACTATCCTCCAAAACACTCCAAAACCAATAGGGTATGAGAGTGCCAGCTCCCCATGTTTTCAACAACTTTGGGTATTACTAAGTTTTAGTTGTTGCCTACTTTTAGGAATAAAACCTGTTTTTTGTTTAAATTTATATTTCCCTAATTACTGAGGTTGAATTATGTTTTCAGATATTTCTCAGAAGCTTTTAAGTGGACTTAAGAATGTATGCACCATACATTTACTTTGAAGATTTGGAGAAGTTGACTACAAGCATTCTTTTGATATTTCATCTTGTTCTGACATGGAACACTAAAGCTAATTTACTTAAAGTGAGCATCCATTTCCCTCTTTTCTTTCAGTCTCAAATTGTTGGAGGGCATTAGGTAGTAAGATAAAATAAAATGATTCCATTAATTCACATTAACCAGGACACTCAATTAATTAAGATCTTCTTTAACATCATAATCAGCTCCAAAGTTTCAGATATTATTTCAAATAATATTTTAATAATTTATATATCTACTACTAATATAAAATTTTCTTAATCTTGAGATGGTACTTAACCCAATGAGCTTAAAGTCCTATAAAAATATAAAATACTCAAAAAATAGTTAAGGAACAAATGGAACTTTGGAAACTTTGAAAATATAAAAAATATGGTCAAATAAAAATTAATTAAATAATTCACAAATCCCATCGTCCAGCAATAAGTACTATGAACACATTGGTGTATTTTCTCCTGTTTTCTATACTTATATTTCATTTAATATTCATTTAATATTACAAAATTGGGAAGTTATATTGTTTGGCATCCTCTTTTTCAATAACCTTTGTAGCTGAGCATTTTTCCATGACACTCAATAACCTTTACAAACATGATATTTATGAATGGCTGTATGATACTTGATCCTATGATGATAATTTAACCATCATTTATTGGATATTTACATTGTTTTCAATTTCTACTATTATAAATAATGCTGTAATAAACATCTTTGCATATAAAATATTTTCACATCTCTGTTTATTTCATCACTAAAACTTCCTAGAGGCAGAATTATTGGAATAAACGGTATAAATATTTTTCAGGCACTTGATACATATTGCCATTCTGCTTGTCAGAAAAGCTGTATACTTCCACCAGCAAAACAACAGACTTGCCCCAAGCTGGATATTCTGAATTTTAAAATTCTGGCTACACTGATAGGTGAGAAATGGTATCCCATTGTTGATGTAACTTATATTGCTAAGACCTTCAATGAGGATCAACATCTTTTCTTTCATTTATTGACCATGTATATTTTTCCTTAGTGAATAAAATGTTTTATGTTTTTCAAAAGGACAAGAGTAATTGTTACATAGCCCAAGAGAATGGCAGGAATCTAGTTACATGGATAAGGACACTGAGCCCTATGTAGGCAGAGCCCAGAATTCAGTTCACTTGATAAACAGTTTAGGTCAGTGTTTCTCAACATGTAGTCTACAAATCAACTATATCAGAATCATCTAGGAGGTACATTCAAAATGCAAGTTTCTGAGCCCCATACTGCTCTTTTGAACCAGAACTAAGCTATGTGAAAGAAAGTTGGAATTTCAATAATCTCCCTAGGTGATTCATGTACACTTGACATTTGGGATTCTCAGTGAAAGGGAGAACAGGGTACAGTGGCATGTATCAGATCACTTGGAGACCTTTTATAAGCTACATATTCCTGTCTGACACCTTTCCTGCAGTTCTCTCAGGGATTTGATTCTGATTCTAGACTGCTACTAATTCCCAGGTCTCTCTACTGGCTTTCAGCATAAGAAAAACTCACATCCTAAAAGGCTATCTCCTTCTTATCTTTTAAGATCTTACTCTGAATTTATTCTTGCCCTTGAAGTCATTTAGCAATTAAGTGCTTACTATGGGTCAGGCACTGTGCTTGGTACTCAGAGGACAGTGGTGAACAAGGCATGCAAACGAAGTTGGCAGCAGAACTGCTTTGTAATTTTTATAAATTCGCTGTCAGAAACTGTTCAAAATTACAATAACAGTTTTTATTTGCTGAATAATTATGTGATGGACATTGTGCTTGGTGCTTTACACATATTATCTCTAATCCATAATAATTCTATCCTATAAAAGAAATGGTATCCTTATTTTACAGATGGGAAAACTGAGGCCTAAGTCCACTGAACTTAAAAGGGTTAGAGCTGGGGTTGGAATCCAGTTCGTTTTGACTCTGGTCTGGGCTGTTTTCTCTATATTATGCTATCTTTCTAAGTCTTAAAAAAATCTTTCCATCATACAGATTTTCCATTCACATTTAGTTAGTCTTTTTGGTAAGAGAGTTTGACCTATAGGTCCAAAAGCTTTCTACTTAATTAGCATATATTGACTCCTTGGATTCAAATGATTCTGGTAAAATATCTACCAACCCAAAAAATCTTGCCTTAAATAGGTTTTTTTTTCTTTTTTAAATACCTGAGGTACCACTCCCACTGCTCTCCGAAGACTTTCCAGGCTTACATCTTGTATATTTTGCCCAGCAAGGTAAATGTTACCCCTTTGCGGCTCATAGAAGCGAAACAACAGCCTTACTATTGTGCTTTTCCTGAAATTGGAGACAAGGAAAGGTTATTTAGTTCCTACTGGCATTAGGAAACACCTATTTTAAACCACAGTAAGAATTTTATTATGATAAAGAAAAAATATTACATTGGGAATCATAAATCAATGATGCAGAATTTTATAAATAACTAAATTACCCACCCTGACCCACTACCTCCTACAATGGCCACTTTCTTTCCTGCAGGGACTTCAAAAGATACTCCACTAAGGACTTTCTGCCCCTCAGTGTATTCAAAATGCACATTATCAAAGGCCACCGTAGCTGTCTGTGGTGTGATCTGAAGGGGAGGTGCCATCACTTTGTCCTAGTAGGGAAAAGAAAAAAAGGCCACTTTACACACAGCTTAGAGTACAGCCATGCAGACAAATCCTAATTCACAGAGAGCAAAAGGAAAATAATGGGAAAGGAGGAAGTTTGTAAGTGGAGTTAGACCACTTGCAAGCATGCTTTTATTACAGATTTGGTTTTTTACTCCTCACTGCTAAGGTCAAAAATCCTGAATGCTTTCATTTATGAGAAGTATTTTTGGGAAAGGAATAAGGATAGTGGGCAGGGGAGTAAGGAGGTTGAGGATGCAAGGAGAGGCAATCACACATTTTATATTATTATTAGCAAAAGTAAGTCAAGTGCAAGTACAAATGATTCAAGTTGACAAAAATTAGTCTCTAGGTATAATATTCTTTACTAAAATTGTAAGGTTTCTAAACACAGAAGTAAAAGCTGTAACAACACCTTAAAACACATTATAGCCCTAATTCCTGCAGAAAAGAAGGTTTACTGACATGATGACATAAGAATATTCTCCTAGAATAATCCTATTAATGAGATGATGCTCACATTCTTTCAAAAAGGTACTAAATAGAGTACTTACTTTAATTCGGGTGTCTACCTTAAGTAGAGTAAACAAGGTATTCATATCTATGAGTGCTTGTCTAGTTTCTCTATATACAGTTCCCAGAAAATTAAGGGGTAATGAAAGCTGAAAAAGCAGTCCATTCACCATTACTAGATCTCCAACAGTAAGGGTACCTTAAAATGTAGTTGGCAGAAGGAAAAAAAAAAAGATATTTTAGATGTTATGAACTTTTCTAGTTTAAGATACAGAAGTTTATAGTCTACTACTTTGGAATACAGTTCAAAATGTACATAATCAGCAACTCTTAGTCTGACTCAAATTTCAAAGCATTTTAATCCATGATTTAGGAATACAGGGAACTTCATATATTCTAAGTGGAATGGGAAAAGTCCTCCCATACATTATACATAATATTTTTTAAAAAATGGTTAAGTGAAGATAGAAATGGGAAATTAAAAATCTCTCTTTTCTTCCTAAGATACTAGCAAGTTTCTTTGTAATATAAAACAAATTTTTTTAAAGTATGTATTAAAAAATTGGAACAAATGAGTATCATGATTAGGAATGATAAACCATGTACTAAGGTAACAGTAAATGAATGAATCCTGAGGAGGGCAGGTTATGGAAAAGAGGCACAGGCATTATTTACTTTTGGAATGTTTTGCAAATGAAAAACTAACAGAAGGATTTTTGCTAGTAATTGCAAAAAAAATAGCTTGAATTTTAATCCTAGAAGAATCAATTTGTAGCCCTATAAAATATATAAACAGCAATCCCAGTCAATGAGAGAACCAGTGCTAAACCTGTAGCTAAATAAAAGGAAGTAAAAAAGAACATTATCCTACAATCAACAAAACAGATTCTGATACAAAAAGGAGAATACTCCAAGGATGTTAAAGCATCGTACTGAATATGCTCATAATTAAGACTAATATACACATTTCTTCCATTAATCTTTACTTATGGAGGTTTAAAACATCTATAAATGTGAAAAACACAGATCCATTACCTGCCACAATTCCCTGACTGGCGAGCACCATTATAGTTGTTAAACCAACACTGAAAATAGCACTTTGACCAAAGTTCAGCATAGCAAGAGTAGAGGTACTTTTCAGTGAAGCATTCTCATATGTCTTCAAAAAGCCATCATATCTCTGTGCTTCATAGTTTTCATTATTAAAATACTACAAGATATAGAAAAATAGTAACTACATTCAAGTATATTTGGAATATATTCTCTTAAGTGTATCCTTTTCATCAGACTACATGTCTGGGTACAATTTATAGTGCACACTCCTTTTAAAAAACTGACTTTCAATACATTGGACTATGTAGTTTTCCCAATGGACTGTATTTGAAAAGTCCATAAAATTCATTCCAAATTTACTGAATGCCTAGTTAACTTAAATCCAGATCTAAAAAGCCATCAATAGCACTTCCTTCACAAAGTCTTCCTTTAATTCCCCAAGACTCTGAATTAACAATTCTCATTGTCCTCACCACATTATACCTTCTTGTATGGTCAACTGAGTATTTTAACTCTTCTAGTAGCTTAGCAAATTCTGGGTTGGCAAGGTTCAAGTATCAATTGATTTTTTTATTTACCAATCTCTCTCATCACAGGGCTTAGCATAGTGTTTGCACACAACAGGCATTCAGTAATATTTGTTAAATGGAGAAATGAAAAAATAAATGAAAGAATTAATGAAAAGCACTATGCTAGGGATAGAGAGTCAAGAATTTACATGCCAGTTTGCTTAGGTTAGTCTTCATTCTGAATCAAAATGCTAACCCTACACTTATCATTTATAAATTAATTCAGAAGGTAAAATTTTGATGATGTCAAACAAAAACTAAGGTGGAAAGGGCAATTTCTAAAAAGAAAAACAATAAAGTACTATTATTCCACCACACCTAGCGATCCTATCTTAATTTGAAGCTCTAACTTAGAGCACTTATTAAATTAAACGGCAGAACAAATCTTAGTGCTATGTGAAAGGCAGAGGAAAGTATAATTAAGCATATTACCTTCACAGTTTCATAATTCAGCAGTGAGTCTATGGCAGCATTACCTGCATCATTATCTGCTTTGTTCATTTCTATTCTAAATCTAGTTCTGTAAGACAAAGATTTGCATAGGCATGAAATGTTTGCTATAAAAACGTAACTAATTTCTGAACCTTGACTGGCCTCTGGGGAATCACCTTACCTCCATCGTGTGATAGCAACTGTGAATGCTGTGTATGCACCTAGCGTCCCAAGAGTTACCAATGCAAACTGGGCACCACATCTGTAATACTGGAGAGGGCAAAGGAAGAAATGAGAAACAGTCATTGTTCTTGCCAAATGGTTCACAATATCCAATAGCAAATCTCAGTCAAAAGAGTTTAATAAAAATATATATTGTGGGAAAGTTGTATAAATGAATAATTGAGTGAGAAATCAAGTACCTTAGCAAAGCTAATCTAGATAACAAGGGAAGAAAGCCAAAATGCACTTGCCACATTGATACTACTGTCAAATGCTGATTATAAAAACAGTGCAATACGCAGTAAGAGGAATAAAAAAGGTATATATACTTTTAACAAATAAAATATGAAACTGTCTAAAATGTTATGAATGGTGAATAGAAACCTACTTAATCTGGGTATACCAGTCCAAAGCCATATACAAAATCTGCTAATAAAACAATCCAAGTATTTATCAAATGACAGATCTATGTATAGACCTTAATAGCTCTTTATAATAACACTATGATATAGACTTTGTATAATCCCTTGAAGCTTGTTGCAAAATAATTAAACATAATCCTTTGATACTATGAAATTTTACTTTCAAACCATGGGCATGCAATATAACAATAGCTTTAAATACTAAATAGCTACTAAGAAGAATTAAGATAGAAGATTGTTAAGAAAACGTTTTACTTACCAAAATACCACTGACAAGAGTCACCTCAAACATGATGGGAATAAGATTAAATACTAAAGCACTCAAAACAAAACTGATACCCCTTGTCCCTCTGTCAATAGCCTTCGATAAAGCTCCTGTCTGTCTGCTCAGATGGAAAGCCAGATCCAGGTTGTGAAGATGGAGAAAGACATTTTTGGCTATCCTTCGGATTGAATTTTGGGCTACCTTGCCAAATACTGCATTTCGAACTTCATTAAAAAAGGCAGCTCCGGCTCTTGACAAACCATCTAATAATATATCCAAAAGAAAAAATGGGATGTAAAGACATTAGAATCACAGGGGTCTAAAAAATGTAACAGTTCAGAAAATGTTTGTACAACAAATGAATGTATCATAGAATACTTAAACTAAAAGAAATCTAGATAGAAAGCATCTAGCCCAGTGAGTACTAATCTTTCTACCATCATGGATCTTTCATTGCTACTTTCCTCCACAGGTTTCAGATGTTGAAATATTTTTTTCCAACTAAAGATTTTTAATAAATAGCAAGCCGATATGGCCTTATTGTGGATAAATGTACAGTATCTGTTGAGGTTTTTTGATCCAATCCAATTCCCCAAATAACAACCAATAAAACGGAGATCAGGAGGAATCAAGTACCTTTACTTTAGCATGCCCCATTCAAGTCTCCTGAGTCTCATAAACTGTCCTTTCTAATGCACAGGGGCACAAAGCATCCTATTCTGTTCTTTACAAATTGTCGATTTGTGTCATGGCTATTGAATACAATTTAATAAAGCATTTATGTATATATATCATTACTTAGCTATTTCCTATTTAACAGTTAACAACAAAAGCAAGAAAATAAATACCCTTATTGAACAGGTATCTTATAAGGAGCCTGACTATTAAAAGTGGTTGTTATGAACTTAATGTCTTATTTCATGTTACTGTTTTCTAGAAACTGGAAAATGAGACATTATAGAATCTTTGGAAAGCATATAATACAAATAAAAAAAAAACACATATGAAAAAAAATCACATAAAACAATAAACATCCAAAATGCTAAGCACTGTTTGTGGTAAAAAGATCATCTGCTCAAATATGATGAAACCCTCTTGAGGAAAGTCAACACATGTAGACAGATTAAGAATCACACATACAGCCAATCAGAACTGCTGTTGCCATGGTTGCAACTGTATTTGGTGCATCACTCAGGTTCAGCATGTTTCCCGACATCTGGTTGAGGCTGTCTACAGCATATTTAAACATGAAGGGAACCACAATATTCATGGCCTAAAAACATAAAAGCAGTAATTACCCATCATATGTAAAATATTTATTTATACAAGTATAAATACTTACCTTAAATTAGTATTTATGGGGATGTTTAGATCTTAACCATTTACTAGTATTGAAGTGATTTTCCCAGTTCATAAAGATGAAATCTTTGTTTGGGAGAGCTGTCATGTCAGGATTCCTACCTCACACTGCCTGCCATGCTAATATTCATTTACAAGCTATGTGCATTAGTCAAATGCTTCTGTCTCCAAGAAATCATCCCTGATCATCCACTCAAAAATGCTCTTTTTGTTATCTGAACTCCTACAGAGCTCATGGCACTTCAGGCAAACTGCATTATATTATAGTTATTTGTATGTTTATTTTTCTTTCCTACTAGATCCTTGAGGGTCTGTATCATATTCATTTTTTTGTCCTACCCATGTTGAGTATGATGTTTTATGTAAAGTAGGTATCAATAAATATATGTACAATTATTTGTTCACCAAAATAATGGTAAAACTGAAGTTATAGAGCAAAAAATCTCAAAAGCAAATAAATTACAAGTATCTGTGGCTGATTTACCACTGGGAAAAAAAATGAGACAGATCTATTTGCCCCACAATAAGATTCCTTTGCTCCAATACCCTAACAAAACAAAACCCACTGAATACCAAAAGCTTTCAAAAACCAGCCTATTTCTCCATAATAATATACCAAAAAATACGAAATTAGAGGTATAATGCTTTCAAATATTCAAGGCAAAATATTCAATCACTCACATTTTACATTTTCTGTAAAGTTATAGTTCAAAAACACAAACTGTCATTTAGGAAAAGAAAGTTGGCTAGACTGCCAAAGTTTCCTTTGGAGAAATTAAATTCTATACATTAATAATATGTGAAAATAATTCTATTAAGGCTTAATAAAAACACCAAGACTCCAGCTCTTGTTAATGTTCCATTATTATGTCATTTATTTTTGTTAAACATAAAGAATTTATTGTCAACAAGCCCAAGTTTAGTTACAACTGACAGGAGTTATGTAAATCTTTACTAATAAAGATTTCAAAGTAAGGTGTACAGGTGTCTTAGCAACCAAGCAGGTGCTCTAATATTCAACAATATCATTAAAATACATAGCAGATGTTGGGATACTCTAAAGAATGTAACACTATGGGATAAACTGCCTAAAACTTTAAAATTTTAAATTTCCAAAATATAATCTAAGAGAATAGTGAGTTTCAAGTAGTATAAATTTCTCAATTCTGGTTCCCATATAATAATGTCAGGTTTTTCGTTCTGCTTGAAATGGTCTCCCCACCTGACTTATCTCTCTTCCTCACCATTCTTCAAAACCCACTCTGAATCCCATTCCCATCATGGTTACCTCTCTGAAACCTGTAGCTCATTTGGGACTTTCCATTTCTCAACAGCTCTTTTTCATAGTTTATACCTCAGTATTTATCATCCACTCTGTCTGTAGGTACATGTGCATGTACCATCTCCTCAACTTCAGTGGAAACCTTTTTTTGTGGCAAAATAAACATTCTGTAAACATCAGCTATGAGTCAGATACAGTGCTAAGTACCTTTCTCAAAGGTGAGAATTGAGTGAAATAACAATTCTATAAAATTGGTATTATCTCTATAATTGAGGAAACTCAGGTTCAATGAGGTTTAATGACTTGTCTGGTAAGCAGTAGAGCTGGGATTAACACCTAGCTCTGACTTGAAGTTCGGAATTTTTTCAAGGACCAAATTATTTTACTACTTTTACATCCTAAAGTGGATGCTCTCAAATGTGCCACTTAATCCAGTTACAGTCATAAAGTATGGCATAAGAAATTTAAATAAATTTGAACAGATTTAAAGTTTTCCACATAATAAAGCCACATCCCCTCACACTCCAATTCACCTGAGTGGGAGAAAAAGTGATAGTTACAGCTAACACATAATTCCCATAACTCACAGCCTATTACATCTTTACTATAGCTAGAATGAGTGGTAACTCAAATTAATGTACCACCAAGAAAGCTGTACAATTTTACTTTTTTGAAAATGTGTTTGAATTTGGTCAAATTTGGGAGCATGATTTTAGGTGTGTAAAGGATGGGAATGTTATCTGCCCTATGTTTTTTTTTTCATTTCTCTCTCTCTTTTTTTATTGAAGTATAGTTCATACACAATCTTATATTGGCTTCATGTATACAACAAAGTGGTTCAACAGTTAGCACCTAGCAAATCCCTACTCCAACCAGTGCAACCACTGTCAACATGTCCTGTTTTTATTGGCAGAGAAAGGGCAGTTTGCACAATGTTAAGAACACAACACGACCTCCAATAAAAATAGTTGATTACTGTCAGTTTTCCCATAGAAGTATTTTAAGAAGAAATCAGTAAGATCAAAGAAATGGCAAGGATTGTATTATGTACAGCGGTTTTTATTAGTATATATGTGTGGGTTCTATTGGCCTTATGCTATTTTGGGGATGGGGTGGTAAATATTGGTTTACCCTAGTATTCTGTCTCCAGCAGAACTAGATTTAAATCATCTCAGAAAATCTGAATTTTTAAAAACTTTTTATTTCAAAATAATTATAGACTCACACAAAATTGCCAAAGTAGTACAAAGAGACCCATAATCCTTCATCCAATATCTTATATAGTTGTAGTTCAATATTGAAACCAAAAATATGAACACTGGCACATTACTGTTAACTTTACTTAGAACTAATTCAGTTTTCACGATTTTAAAATGTGTACTCTTGTGGATGTGTATGGTCTGCATGTGTCATCTATATGGTTCTATACATCCTGTGTTCAGATCCATGTAACCATCACCATAATCAAAATTCAGAACTATCATCCCCTCACCACAAAATAATTCTTTTGTGTTACCTCTTTATATTTATTCCCATCCCAACTTATCCCACCCCAGTCCCTGGCCCTTGGCAACCTCTAATCTGTTCGTGATCTCTATAGTTCAGTCATTTTGAGAATACTATATACATGGAATCATACTGTATGTAACCTTTTAGGAATGCCTTTCCCCCTGTTCCCCCCAGTTAGCCATAATGTCCTTGAGGTTTATTTATTAGGGATGATGTATGTATCGATAGCTAATCTCCTTTTACTGCTGAGTACTACTCCATGGATGTGCCAGAATTGATTCAACTATTTAGCCTTGAAGGATATTTTGGTTGTTTCTAGTTTCATGCTATTACAAATGAAGATGTTATGAACATTTTCATATGGGTGATCATAAGTTTTCATTTCTCTGGGATATATGTCCAAGGGTGTAATTGCTAAGTCATACAGTAAGTCTACCTTGAACTTTTAAGAAACTGCTGTACTCTTTCAGGGTGCCTGTACAGTTTTACATTCCCACCAGTAAAGTATGAGCAATCCAGTTTTTCTGCATCCTCACCAACTTTTGGTATCATCATTACTTTTAAAAATTTTGAAACTATTTTAATTGGTGTATAGTGAAATCTCATTTGGAAAAATTTGTTTCCCTAATGGCAATTATTTTGAACATCTCTTCATATTCTTATTTGCCATCTGTATATCCTCTTTGATGACATATCTGTTCATGTCTTTTGCATATTTTATAATTGGACTGTTTTTTTTTGCTATTGAGGTTTAAGAGTTCTTTATATATATATATATATATTCTAGATACAGGGCTTTGTTGGATATGTGATTTGTAAATATTTTTTTCCCAGTCTATAGCCTATCTTTCATTATATTAAGGTGCCTGAACTCCTACCCCACTCAGCAGTCATGAGGCAGCTGCCCATCCCCAATGGAGCAGTGTTACAGGGGGCTTGCTAAGCAGAGGATGTAAATAAGGTCCAGAGTCTTATAACATACTATTCAAAACATCCAGGTTTCAATAAAAAATCAATCATATCAAGAACTACTAAGATATCAACTTGAGTAAGAAAATTCAATCAACAGACACAAATGTCAAAACTATCTGATAAGGATTTCAGAGTAGCCATCATAAAAGTGCTTCAAGGAGCATTTATGAACATGCTTGAAATGACAAAAATAGAATGTTTCAGCAAATAAATAGAGGACATAAATAACCAAATGAAAAATTTGGAAAATAAAAGATATAATAACTGAATTAAAAAAACTGAATGGATGAGATCCATAGGAGGATGGAGAGGACAAAGGAAAGAATCAGTAAACTTGAAGATAGAATGATAGAATTTATTGACTATGAATAACAGAGAGAAAACAGACTAAAAAAGTGGATGAGGGGGACAAGACTCAGGGACATGGGACTACAACAAAAGATCTATAACTACTCTTTAGAGTCCCAGAAGACCAGGATAAAAAGTATGAGGCTGGAAAAAATATTTACAGAAATAATGGTTAAAAATTCCCCAAATTTGGCAAGAGACAAAAACTTAGAGATTTAAGAAGCTGAGCAAACCCAAGAAGGGATAAACCCAAGGAAATTCATACCAAGACACATTATAATTAAACTTCTGAAAGCTATAAAGAAAAAAATCTTAAAAGCAGCTACACAGAAACAATACATTACTTATAAGGGAAAAGTAATTTGAAGACAGCTGATTCCCAGGGAGGCCAGCAGAAAGTGGCACATTTTTCAAGTGGTAAGAGAACTTTAAACCTAGAATCCTATAACCAGCAAAACCAGCCTTCGGGATTGAAGGGAATGTCAAGATATTCTCTGGTTAAAGAAAACTAAGAACTAGTAACCCGTAAACCTGTCTAAAGGCATTGCTGAAGGAAATTTCTCATACACATGGGAAATAGAAACAGAAGGAAACCTGGAACATTAGGAATGAAGGAAAAGAAACAGAAATGGTAAATACCTGTGCAAATACAACAGCCTCTTCTTAAGTTCTTTAAAATGTTTGATGGTTAAATGTAAAAATTAAATCATTGACTGACAGGAGTTTTCAGTGTATATAGATGCAATATATAAGATGACTTGTAAACATAAAGAGGGAAGGGAAGGTAAAGGGGCTGACAGGGT